CTTAGCAGAGGACAAGTTTCCTGAACCTCTATTGATGAAGACAGAGGTTCTGTCACTTTAACCTTGTACAAAAGAGCTTCTTCTGTTGATTGTCCTCTGAGGTCTTCTGTAACAGATCAGCTTCTGTCAACACTTGCTGTTTTACTTTTTCTATACTTTTACATTAAAGGAATGAGAGCTAACACCATCCCACCACCCATCACAGCCATCCCAGCCATTGGCTGGACATCCCACTGACATGTTTTGTTTTTTGTCATCCCTGAGCATGCTCGATCAGTCGTACGATGAATCACCACGGCGTACGGTACCTTACACACTTTATTTTGAATTCATTTATTTGAAATTTTACTAACAACATATATGACGATTTCATTACACATGCCATCTATGAGTCAGTCCAGAGGCCACCTACCGACATGTACATGACTCCACCTCAGAGGCCACCTCCCATGGAGGTCTAGCCCAGGGAGGCCCATCTGCAGTTGCCGAGCCAAGCGTTATTGACCCCTTATAGGGCCCTACCTTCTTCTACTCGTTGAGCCTCGGCGAATACGACCAAATGTTCCAATGAACAATAGAGAGTCTCTCTTAAAGATTTGATAGGGCCTACGTCTGTAGTCACCAGAATATACATGGAGTGGCAATTGAGCAAGGAAATATAGCTTAGGTGCTTACCGACACGTCCTGTAGATACGGAACGACAGGGAATACTAGTGGGTTTGTTTGATTATGAGTGGCTCGAAATCTCGGTTAATTATATAGTTTAATCTTAATATTACTTTTTTTATGATACTAATACGTAGTTCATGTCTAACATAATCTAGGATTTCTAGCATGGGCTACTGTTAGTCGGGTATTGAAATTAAAGTTATATCTATTTAATTTAAGTTATTAATCTATTGTTGGAAATCGGTTTCTAACGTTTCTCATTCCAGGTCATTCCCCATATGCATCCAAAATCGGCGTTGGGTGGTCGGGGATATGAACCTAGATTTGATGACCATTACCATATATGACCCGATGCAAATCCCAACGTTCAAAAATCTTGTGAGAAGGGTGTTGACTCGTTTTTGTGAGGTTCTCCCTAGGTTTTTATCTACCATTAGGGAACAATCTCGTGCACGGGCTGCGAAGTCCTTGAGTTGGAGTTACGCATCTAATGTACCACAACAAGGAGGATGGCTCGGCGATTGTGGTATATGGCATGTAGGTTCTCATTAGATTTGATGGATGGCAGGACTTCATCATGTAGCATATCAACAGTGTCGGCGTGCAAAGTTTTTTGTCATCATATGGCAGATGAAGACTACTACCGAAGATGAAGATTACTTGGCCTTTTTATTCAATTTATTCATGGTTTATGGGCGATGTAGACACCCTATTTTACAATACATATTTATTTTAGACATGCTACCTTTGAAAGTAAAGATGTTCAATTTATTCAACACAACTCCTCGTCCTCCTCCTCCTCCTCCGTTCCTGAAATTTTAAAGGTAGAACGGGAAGAGTTTCCATCCATTCTTAGAGATAAAATAGAAAATATTGAATATGGTTGATATGAAATTGTGATTTTTGGGTTCATCAGCAATCATATTTATAGGAAAACATGAAACACGTCTGGTGTTATATGTATAGGCGAACATGGATTTTCAAACGTATCTTTCAGGATTTTCAGACAAATCTTTCAGGATTTTTTAGATGAAGCTTGCAGACTTTACTAGATGAATCTTGTAGGTCCACAATTTTGACCACTTTGACCTCCACAATTTTTGAAAAAAAAATACATTTTCCATGTTTTCCATGTATTTCACTTGCCGATGTGTCTCCATGTTTTCCTATAAATACCTCACTAGAACAGGTCGTAAACCACGAGATAAGTATCTTTTTACAAATTTTCTACATGGCATCCAAAAATATTCATGTCTGGAACTTCAGGTATTTATTTCAATCGCTTCCGGCTACTACCACCCAGTTATATGGTAAGTGTGTTTATCTTTTTGGGGTCTTAGTTGTGTTAAATCTTGTCTACTGCTAATATTGTTAATATCCATGGTATTTTATAGAACCACCTAGAAGGCAATACTTTCTTGGTCTAGAAATCTATGTTGATATGTTAGTTGTCAACAATATTTTCATGCAACTACTTCACCGGATAATGGAAGATCTAGGATACAACAAACGCAAATATATAAGATGTATTTTAAAAATCCAAATGCATACTTATTAAGTGGAGTGGAAGCATTGACTTCCTATGAAGATGTAATGAATATACATTAATATGTTGGCGGTCGTACCATCATTGAAGTGCACAACGAGAAGGTGGATGTTAACAGTTCGAGCCTAATTTCACCAGAACATATAAGAAGTCGGACGAGACAGTGCAAAAACCAAGCATCGTCTAGCCATAGCTTGACATTTAAATGACCGTGTATATTTGAAATTATAAGCAAATTTTAATATGTAATGTGTTGAAAACCTTAAGCTGAATAGGAGCTCGTTTGGATAGTTAGTGGAGCACTTATTTGATTTTTCCTTTCTTAGTCAAAGACGGGAAAGTTATGAGATCAGTGGATCAGAAAGGATGTCGTAAGGCTATCGTTAACGTTTGGTCATTTAACACCCCCAAAACTCACATTGCATATAACACATATTTCATTCATAGAATACATGTTTAAGCCCACAAAGATCCATAATACAAGAGTTTATGATACAAAATACACAACTTGAAAATTCCAAAATACATGCGCTTGTATTCTTAATATCTATTCTTCAAAACACATCCAAAATGATCTTCACAAAACTAAGCACATAGGGAAATAATTCACATTTTTCCTTTTCCTTTATTATCATTATAACTGGTATTACCTGCACACATAATTAAAATGCAAATGAGGGTTAGACATGAATGTCTAGTGACGTTCCCTTTTTATGTAATGCAGGGTGGAGATCAACAAAACATTTATAAAAATATATCATTCCATATAATAAAGATAAAATCACATTCTGTTTGAGTCCATCGGTTCTCTGGTTCCAAAGACAGACTTAGAAAATATTTTCATAAACAAGAGGACCAGAGCTCCTCTGGTTCCTCTACCAAAGCTTCTGGTTAAGCCCACCAGAGCCTCTTACTTAGTGGAAGTTCTT